CACGACGAGCGACGATGATGACCATTAACATGTCACGACAAATTCGAGTCATGTTTTCTCTATGAATACTTTATCTCCTGACAATGATGATGATAACACAATAGTAATAATAATAATAATAGATAACCATAATAATAATAATAATAATAGATAATCATAATAATAATGATAATGATAATTTTTTCCAGAATTTTTATGTTCCGGCTTTTAAAATTAATGCTTCTGCGAAGTTTTACGTGCTTCTGCCATGGGAAAAAAAACATTAATAATATTTCTAAAAAAAAATGAATTTGATTACTACTTCTACTACCACAACAACAACAACAACAACAACAACTACTACTACTACTACTACTATTACTACTACAACAACAACTAATATTACTACTATTACTACTACTACTGCCGCTGTACTACTACCACTTCTACTATTACTACAACTACTACTATTACTACTACTTCTTCTACTACTCTTGCTACAGCTACTTCTAATGATGATAATGATGATAATAATAATTAGCTTTCGTTAACATTTGGCTATCATCAAAATGTAATTACAATCATATGCTCTGTCAATGCCTTCGTAACGATAATGATATTGTTATTGTTGTTGTTGTTTTCGTTGTCGTTGTTGCTGTCGTTGTTGTTGTTGCTGTTTTAGCAACAATAATAAAATAAAATCATCATTATCGATGTTTTTTTAAGAGTATTAGGCTAACGAACCAAGAGAGCAAATTAAGTTTCATTTCTTCGCAATCGAAGTTTTGTGTGAAAAATTGAAATAAAATAATATAAATAATAATAAATTCTGTTAAATTATTTATTATTGTCCATATTATTATTATCTGTTATTAATAATAATTATTATTATTATTATTACTCGGTTGATTTATGTTATTATAGATATTTTTTATCATTATGGCCTATACATCTACAATGTTTTTGATGTCGTTTCGCATTATTGCATATGTGTGTATGAGTGTTTGTTTGTTTGTTTGTTTGTATATATGTATGTATGTACGTATGTATGTATGTATGTGTGTGTGTATGTATGTATGTATGTATATATGTATGTATGTTAAAACCAAATCAGTGATGAGTACGTATGTATGTAAATATGTATGAATTTTGTATGTATGTAAATATGTATGAATTATGTATGTATGTATGTTTGTATGTATGTATGTATGTTTATGTACAAACAAGATGTTAATTTATGATTTCAGGAACTGGTTTTTTTAAACAATAACAACAACAACTAAAGTATAATACAAACCATAGTAATAACCATAGTAATAACACAAACGATAATAATAATAATAATTATTTTTAATGGCTGATACAGAAATAAATCACATATAATATAGATATATACATATTGTTTATGGCTTATTATTATTATTGTTGTTATTATTGTTGTTGTTCTTGTTGTTATTATTAATTTTTTCTTTCTGTGTGGTATTAATATTTCTGCGCTAATATAATTAGTATGCTTTTTTTCGTTTTTTATACATGTATGTATGTTTGTATGTATGTTTGTATGTCTGTTTGTATGTCTGTTTGTACGTATGTCTGTTTATACGTATGTCTGTATGTTTGTTTTTATGTATGTTTGTATGTGTATGTTTGTATATGTTTATGTATGTATGTATTTTTGAATAAATATATATATATTATGTGTGATGCGTATATGTAGATTAAATATGCATTTGTGTGTATTATGTGTGTATTTGTGTGTGTATTTGTGTGTGTGTGAGTGTTTACGTTTTTTGTGTAATATTTGTGAATGATTCGATATGCTTTCGCCACATAAGACTAACGCTTTATCATTGTAGAGAGGATAATGTTGAGATTGTTGCTGCTGATGATGTTGTTGTTGCTGTTGTTGATGTTGCTGTTGTTGTTGATGATGATGCTATTGTTGTTGATGTTGTTGATGTTGTTGTTGCTTTTGCTGCATTTGTTGTTGATGTTGTCGTCTGTTGTTGTTGTTGCTTTTAACGATGTTTGTCACGATTTTCTATGCAAAGTTTTTTCTATCTTTGAAAAGTTTTTTGTGGCATTTTGTTTAATTTTTTGTTGCATGTATGTATGTATGTATGTATGTATGTATGTATGTATGTATTATTATTATTATTATTATTATTATTATTATTATTATTATCAAAAAATTTATCTAGCGCTAGTTAGTTAAAATTCAAAAGCGCCATCAAAAAATAAAATAACACAAAATTAAACATAAGATTTAACATGTCCTAACTAAAATAATGTGTATGTGTGTGTGTGTGTTTAATTGTGTGTGTGTGTGTAGTGTGTATGTGTGTGTGTGGTGTGTGTGTGGTGTGCGATGTGTGTGTATGTGTGTGTAAATTAATTTATGGCAATCTATAAGCCACGATATAAGAAGTGCTCTGTCGAACGATGAGACAATGATGACGCTGATGATGCAGAAAATAATAATAACAATAGTAATAATAATAACAATTATGATGATGATGATGATGATGAAGATGATGATGAAGATGATGATGACGATGATGATGACGATGATTATATGATAACATTAATTCTCTATCATACTGTGACGATGATGAAGCCGAAGACAATATAATGATGCTTGCCAAGATGATGATGACGATTTTTATTATTTTTATTATTACACTAGTTTTATTATTATTGTTATTTTTATTTATTATTATTGTTATTATTATTCTTTGCGTATAATATTGTGGAGGTTAATTTCATTGGCCGGCCATTGATTAGCCAATGATGGCTGTGTTACTAATACTATTACTGCTGATACCACAACTGCTACCGTAGCTGCTACTACTACTACTACTACTACTACTACTACCACTATTACTACTACTACTACTACTACTATCACTACTTCTACTACTATTACTACTACTGCTACTACCACTACTACTACTTTTTCAGTTGAAACTTGCAGTCGTTGTTGCTACTTCTTCTACTGCTACTGCTTCTTACATTGCTACTGTGGTAACAAAATCCTTGAAGTTCAAAAAGACCACAACAACAATAACAAAAAATAACAACAACAACAATAATAATAATAATAATGATAATAATGATCAATAAACCAAGACAACAATCATTGGGCAATTAAAAGTGAGAACATTATCACTGACCAATTAATAACAGCAGATTCAAAACAATCCACATACATACATACATACATACATATATACATTCATACATACATACATACATACAAACATACAAACAAACATACCACATAAATATCGCTCTTGCCTATTGGTTGTTCTTTATTACACTGCAGTTTTCATTACCATTATCATCTTTTCGCTGGCTACCATCGTCGCCATTTTGTTTTGGGATTTTCACTCTCCATCATCATTCTCATCATCCTTGTCGTCCTCATCATCACCATCACCATCATCATCATCATCCTCATCATCTTTATAATATCATAAAGTAGTTTCCAAATCATCTTTTATAGTATTTTATACTTGGGTTTATTTTGGTTGGTAAAGTGTATGTAGTAGTAGTAATTTGGTATTAGTATTTGTAATAGTAGTAGTAGTAGTTGTAGTAGTAGTAGTAGTAGTAGTAGTAGTAGTAGTAGTAGTAGTAGTAGCAGTAGCAGCAGCAGTAGAAGTAGCTTCAACAGTAGTGTTAGTAGTAATAGCGGCAGAAGTATTAGCAGCAGCTGCAACAGCAGCAGTAGCATTAGCAGCAGCGGTAGTAATAATACTAGAGGCGAAAGTGAAACAGTTTTTCATGGTAATGATAAATTAATGACGCTATTGCTGGTACCATTATATACTTGTGAATTATTTTTCTCCTTGAGAGCAGCGTTGAGCCTTTTGTTAAGTGTCGTCATCATCGTCATCGTCATCCTTATTATAATGGTAAACTATGGAAGCTACTTCTATTACTACTGCTGCACTGCTGCTGCCACTGCTTCATCATCATCGCCATCAACATCATCGTCGTCGTCGTCATCACTTTCATAAATAGTGTCTTTATTTTTATGTTTTCTTCGCCAATCGTTGCCTGAAGAAATCTCCCCAATAGTTCTTTCTCTTTCTTTCTCCCCGTCTCTCTCTTTCTTTCTCTCTCTTTCTTTCTTTCTCTTTTTCTTTCTTTATCTTATTTTCTCTTTTTTTTCATTCATTCAATCTTTTGTTTGATTGCCTGACCGATCATTTTTTATAAACTGACCAATCTTTTCACATTCCGTCGTTCTATCATGAAGATTGTTAAATAATTTTGATTGAGGCGAATGTTCATTCATTTGTTTGTTCGTTCGTTTGTTTGTTCGTTTGTTTTTTATTAATTAATTAATTTATTTATTTATTCATTCCTTTATCCATCCAACCATCAATCAATTAAAAGTAGCATTTAAACATGTTTTCGTTTTTTGGAACGTTCGCTTTTTGCTAAAATTAAAATAGATGACGATCCAACTAAGCCCTTTAAAAACTGTCAATAAAAATGCCCACTGCTATTACTACTGCTACTACTGCCAAGCCAAAAATAAATAATTAAATACAGATTTTTTTAAAAAATATAAATAAGCAGTACATGCGTATATACAGAACTATACAAAGCACACAAAAAATATACAACCAACATACATAGTTATACCCAAAAAAAACACACAAAAAGATACAAAAATATACAATAAATATACAAAAAAACATTCAAAAACATACAACAACAAAAATAAGAAGAAATCGAAGACAGAGGCTTAGTGGGCGCGTTAAAATATATGTAGGTGAGGGTTAGGTCATTATATA